GCTCATAAGCTCAAGCTTGATTGTGAGCCAAATGTTTTATAAAATAAAAAAGTATACATATAAAAAATTATTTTTTATTTGACATTTAAAAAATTAAGAAATTTAAAAACAAGTTATTATTATATATAAAAATAAAAATATTATATATAACATTTTTTATTTTTTATTTATAATATATATTTTAAATATATTATTTTCTATATTTATAATGTTTTTATATTTATTATTTTTTATATGTATAATATAAAAAATATTATATTATACCTAAAAAAATATAAAAAATATTTTATTACGAGCTCGACTCGTAACACGTATGTATACATATATACATGTATAAGCTCAATTAGGCTCGCGAGCCTCACGAGCTTTGAGCTTGGCTTGAAGCTCAGTTTAGACCGAGCTGAATCGAGCTTTTCATGAGCCGAGCTCGAATAGCTCGTGAAAAGCTCGGCTCATGGCCACCCCTAGTGGGCCATGTAAATCATAATAGAAGTTTACAATGTGTCCTTCATGTCCACAATGGGTACACTAACACACTACCACATCATCCAATGCCTCAACCTCTAACAGCCTTTGTATCCCTACCACTTCCACAACCACCTCCTCTAACAATACCACCCCTGGTTACAGCTAAAGCAGACTTCTTAGATAGAGGAGAGTTATCATTCTGTGGGTTTGAAACACTTCCCCACCCTAGAAAAGACTTCTGATTGAGTTGGAACCTCACTACTACCCATAATTTGTACACAGACTGGCTCATACTATCTTCTTAGTCCTAAAAGAAACTGAGCAACACCCAACTGATCCCTTTGTTGCTCTTGTACCTTCAGTTCATTTGACAATGGCTGATAGGAATTCAACTCATTACGCATACTCTTGAGATTAGCAAAATACTCCATAATCTTATCATCTTGTTGCAATTGAAAATATTCTTGATAAAGCTGATAAATCCTTGCAACATTATCCTACTCTTTAGCATGGTCCCAAATTTCTTTAGCAGTATCTAGGAACATCAGATTCACACTAATATGCAATTCCATGCTGTTCCAAAATGTCATAATCTGTGCATTTTCTTGTGCCCAATGACTATACCCAGTAGTACCCAAATCTGGTTTGTTGTCTTTAATATACTTCAATTTACCCTTGGCAATTAGATTCACTTTAACAGATTTTGCCCAGGGAATGTAATTTGCACCATTAAGCTTCACAGTAGTCATCTGGATTGCCATAAAGTCTGGTTGGATCACCACACTAGATTTAGCTTCACTTCCTGATGATGCCATAACACAGAGAGAATAATTTTGAAATGTTATCAACTTAATTCCACCAGAAATCAGATCAAATGAACAAAGAAGAAAGCTAAAGAAACAGGTTCTAGAGCCTGAAGCACCAAAAAATAGTAGCCACAATCCAGGAAAAACACAGAAAAACCTCTCAACACACTAGCCAATCTCAATATCATTCACAGATCTTGATTATTGCGCTATCTAAACTTACTATTCACCAGAAAAATCAACAACTTGAGAAACTAGCCTATAACATCTGGAAACAGCCCCTCTTTAAATCACCAAATAGAGGGATGCTAGAAAAACACTTTCTACACACAAAACACTGCAACTAGAGGTATGGGAGCCTCCTACCTTAGAGGGTGATCACTTATTTTCTGTCATTTTCACTTTCTTTGAAGTACTGAAAGAGTCTTCTATGTGTTTAGGACTGTATGGCATCTAGGACTGATCAGGCCAATCAATGTTGCTCTATGCCATGTGATCAGGCCTGAAATCAGTCTGAGACAATATAGAAAAATTAGGAAAACGTTCAGAGAATGATTGGAAGAAAAGAGAAGAGGAGAGTTGGGAGAAGAAAAACTAGGGCTGAAGGCAGAGATCGATGTCTTAGCAGACTTCAATTGCCACCCTAATTTATTTATATTAAAATGGAAGATGAAATGACAACATTACCCCTCTTTAATTAATAAAAGAAATAAAAGAAAATTACGTATGCATCCCTGACCACACTAATAAATGAGAAAAATATTAACTCTAACAACATGAATTATTCAACAAAAATATTTGAAGAGTGAAAAGGGTGTTCTTTAAGGGAACAATAAAAACAATTTTTAGTTTTGATAATAGGTAAAGTAAATATCAATAAAAACAAATTTTACAACACCAAGGAAGAAAGCTTAAATTGAAAAACCAAGCAGCGGTCTTATGAACAGGGAAAAGGTGGAAGAGATAACGAGGCAAAAATATATCTGTAACTACCTGACTTTACATAAGCTCCAACCAGATTCTTTGAGTTGATACCAGTAATTTTCTTCCTCCTGAACTTTATCTTAGTTACCTGTATCAATACAATATATTTTTCCTGCCATTTTTACTAATAATGATCATTGGAATTAGTCTCAAGGTTTAGCACATACAGAAACATGACTTTCTTTCCATCAAAAATAAATTACTATACAATGAAAAAGAATTAGAATGAACATTTCATTATCCTGTCACAATTTCAATGTGACAAGAATGTGGTTTGAAAGTTAAAACAGATACATGAAATACCAAAATGACAACAATGAACCCTCTAATTCATAAATTGGGAAATGTCATGTCGATTTTCACCCGTGCAAAGAAAATAGCAACTCACCAATCATACTTATGTGACTGAAACACTTCCATTAGATTGCTGCATAGTCCCTAGAGACCTACCTGCGAAAAAAAGTGTGTTGGCAAGTTTTTATGGATGCAAAACAAATTACCAATTGGCCTGCAAGCATGTATGCACATATGCACTTTTTTCTTTAGTCATTTATAGTTTTGGATTTTGATGAAAAAAAGCTTTAATAAGATGGGCAAAACGTTGATCATATATTAGCAAAAGTCATTAAATAAACATAAATAATTGGACAAAATTTGACAGTTAAACAGAACCTCACTAGCTCTACAATGCTATTATATGTAGACATGAATTGGGAAAAAGGAAAAAAAGAAGACAAGCATGTTAGAATCAACAACAGTGAAGCACCCCAAATGAGTGAGCTCCCTGCAGATAAGTTAATGGATTGAGTCATCATCCAGATTGATCAGAAACCAGTCTAAGTAAGAAGGTTCAAAATCCTAATATATCCACCTGATTAAAGACAGACCTTAGAAGGTAACTCTTATAATCAGATGAAGTCCAAATGCACCTAGCCCATTTGACAATATGTATATATGAATGTGAATTATTTTATTGAGCCTATGAAAGAACTCTTCTTCATTGTGTTTTTATTACATAAACATTCTTTATGTATTACCAAAATAGTATGAACATATATTTAAAATGCTTGTTGGCTTGGTTGCATGGCTTCATTTTAATTTAGTTATCCGAAATCCATCTGAGTACAATCCAAGTTGAAATCCTGGATATGATTTGCTAAGATCTGCAAAGTCTTGGATCAAATCCCAGATCTAGTAAATATTAAAAAAGAAATTAGAAGCTTACCAGAGTTGCCTGGAAAAGAGTAAGTTGTGGAAAGGTAGCTATTTCTTATCACGTCCATTTGAGCAGCATCAACAGGGAGTGCAGGGCTAGAAAAACTATTATCACGGAATTGATTTGAGAAATTCATGACTGATGGATATCCTCCTGAGT